ATGACTGTAAAAAAGACAAACATTTCCATTTTAAAGAAAGGCGATCTACAGGTAGCTTTAAGCTACAGACGAATATTCTTGAACTTCTTACCATGTTAAGGTATTATAGAAGATAATAAGTAGTAGCGGAACCTGTGTAGAGGCATTGAAGTAACATTACAAAACAGTTAACATTACAAAACAGTAAACATGGGCTTAGAGAAGGTATAATCTCTCTTACAGACCTTCTAGAGTCTGCCTGAAATGCACTGCATATTAGTGGGTTTCTTTTGTGCCTAACAATGTTTTATTACATGTAAACTACATTGTGTACTGCATAAAATAAAAAAAATGAATTGGACGGGAGACTACACCATTTCCTCCCTTACAACTAAAAGTTGCCCTGAAACAGCCAGTTGTGGAGAACATAGCATACAGTGCTTGAGTGTCGGGGATATACTGAATTCATCTGGCAGTGAGAACTCCTCATGTGGGAAATTTTCTATTGGTTATCTCAAGTTCCTCTCTAGACACATGCCTTGTCCCTCAGGCTATATTCATGTTGGTGTTGCACTTGGCCTTGCTGCCCCTAAACTCGCCGAACAGGTGTGCTGGTGGCAACGCATCAGTAACCGATTCGGGTACCATGGTCTCATTTGGCATAGATCTAAAGACAAAAATTACAAGGGATGAAGAAGCTAACGTCACCGAGAGAATCCTTCCAATGCTGGATGACCAGCTGTTACAGATCTGATGGCAGCTTAAGTATCCAGTTAGAATTTTCTAACATATGGACAGATAGCAAGCAGGTGGTGTGGAACTAGACATGTGGCTGACACCTGTCTCCATCACAGCAATAATGAAGGAGGTGCAGTGTCAACTTCAGGGAGTCCCAGAAGTCTAGAAATTACAGTGAACTTGATCATCAGAGAGCCTCGGTTCATGGGGCAGAGTGCATCCATCTTTCTAAAGGAAATTATGGAAAAAGACTCATCAGCAACTAAAGATCCCAGGGCAACTAGTTTTCTGTTTCCGAGTCTAAATGCTGAAGTTCAGAGGGGTAACGTTTGTCGTATTCTAGGTACGCATCTCAGCTATGAGCTGAGGAAACTTTTTATTATTTAAGTGTTACCAAGCTCACTTGTGTAGTTATGTATCTCTCAAACTTAGTATTTTGTACATTATGCTAATAACCTTGCACCATCGATGTATCCTGTAAAGTTTTACAGGAGAACCCCACTCATACAGCAAGTTAGGCTCCAGGCTACTGCTGTAGAGTGATACATAGCTTTTTTCATTTTCATATGCATATAAAAGCCTGCTAACATGTTTATACTATCATATATTAAGTGAACAATAGAGCTAGGTCTAAAAAAATGCATATACAGTACACACATTACATATTGTAAAATGTTTTCGTCCTTAGTTTATAGTGTGTGGTGAATATATTTTATTATAGGAAGTCTGAATAAATGAAAAATGGGTATAATTGAAAACTGCTGTATTAGCGAAACACCATGAAGTGAAGTGCTGTAAAGTGGTGCCCGCCTGTATTCCATTGTGCATATAGTGAAGATATAATTATGATATAATTATGATAGAGTGGATAGGGGGAGCAATGTGGCAGATGTTGCAAGTACAGTGGACCCCCGGTTAACAATATTTTTTTCATTCCAGAAGTATGTTCAGGTGCCAGTACTGACTGAATTTGTTCCCATAAGGAATATTGTGAAGTAGATTAGTCCATTTCAGACCCCCAAACATACACGTACAAACGCACTTACATAAATACACTTACATAATTGGTCGCATTGGGAGGTGATCGTTATGCGGGGGTCCACTGTATATGGAATAGGTGGTAAGTTAATAAATGCTGTAAAGTTATTTTATGAGGATAGTGAGGCTCAGATTAGGGTGTGTAGAAGAGAGGGAGACTACTTCCCGGTAAAAGTAGGTCTTAGACAGGGATGTGTAATGTCACCATGGTTGTTTAATATATTTATAGATGGGGTTGTAAAAGAAGTAAATGCTAGGGTGTTTGGAGAGGGGTAGGATTAAATTATGGGGAATCAAATACAAATGGGAAGTGACACAGTTTACTTTTTGCTGATGATACTGTGCTTATGGGAGATTCTAAAGAAAAATTGCAGAGGTTAGTGGACGAATTTGGGAGTGTGTGTAAAGGTAGAAAGTTGAAAGTGAATGTAGAAAAGAGGAAGGTGATGAGGGTATCAATGATTTAGATAAAGAAAAATTGGATATTAAATTGGGGGAGGAGAGTATGGAAGAAGTGAATGTTTTCAGATATTTGGGAGTTGATGTATCAGCGGATGGATTTATGATAGGATGAGGTTAATCATAGAATTGATGAGGGAAAAAAGGTGAGTGGTGCTTTGAGGTTATTGTGGAGACAAAGAATGCTATCTATGGAGGCAAAGAAGGGAATGTATGAAAGTATAGTGGTACCAACACTCTTATATGGGTGTGAAACTTGGGTTGTATATGCTGCAGCGAGGAGGCGGTTGGAGGCAGTGGAAGATGTCCTGTCTAAGGGCAATGTGTGGTGTAAATATTATGCAGAAAATTCGGAGTGTGGAAATTAGGAAGAGAGTGTGTGGAGTTAATAAAAGTATTAGTCAGAGGGCTGAAGAGGGGTTGTTGAGGTGGTTTGGTCATTTAGAGAGAATGGATCAAAGTAGAATGACATGGAGAGCGTATAAATCTGTAGGGAAAGGAAGGCGGGGTAGGGGTCGTCCTCGAAAGGGTTGGAGGGTTGGGGTAAGTGAGGCTTTGTGGGCGAGGGGCTTGGACTTCCAGCAAGCGTGTGTGAACGTGTTAGATAGGCGTGAATGGAGACGAATGGTATTTGGGACCTGACGATCTGTTGGAGTGTGAGCAGGGTAATATTTAGTGAAGGGATGCAGGGAAACCGGTTATTTTATATAGCCGGACTTGAGTCCTGGAAATGGGAAGTACAATGCCTGCACTTTAAAGGAGGGCTTTGGGATATTGGCAGTTTGAAGGGATATGTTGTGTATCTTTAAGTATATACTTCTAAACTGTTGTATTCTGAGCACCTCTGCAAAAACAGTGATTATGTGTGAGTGAGGTGAAAGTGTTGAATGATGATGAAAGTATTTTCTTTTTGGGGATTTTCTTTCTTTTTTGGTCACCCTGCCTTGGTGGGAGACGGCCGACTTGTTAAAAAAAAAAAATAATAATTACAGTGGAATCTCAAAAATCGAACTTAATCCATTCCAGGAGCTAGTTCTAAATTCGAAAAGTCCAAAATTCGAAGCAATATTTCCCATTAGAAATAATGTAAATACAATTAATCCGTTCCAGAAACCCAAAAATATTCACACAAAAAATACATTTTATGGAGATTAATTACAGTTTTACATACAACAAATACTATAGTTTTTAATTATGTATAGTAATACATATAAAATAACATTTTTACTTACCTTTATTGAAGATTGGTGATGGCATCTGGAAGATAGAGAGGAGGAGAGAGGGAGTTGGGGTTAGTGTTTGGAAGGAGAATCCCCCTCCATGAGGACTTCAGGTAAAGCCCTCTCTGGGGTTACTTTTCCCCTTCTCTGTCTTTTAATGCCACTAGACCAGCTTGAGAGTCACTGGACCCCTGTCTCACAAAATAACTGTCCACAGTCCTCTGTTTCTGGTGCCTCTTTTAACATTTCTCTAAAATGGGACATAGTTCTGTCACTGAACTTGTTGCAAAGATGGCTTGTTTCAGCTAGCTCAGGGTGGGTACTTCTGCACAAACATTTGGATATCATTCCACTTGGCACAAATCTCCTTAATCTTTGAAGAAGGCACCTCATCCACTCCCTATATTAACACCTTTCGCAACATCAGCTTCCTTGATTTGTTCTTTCTTTGACAGGATAGAACCGATGGTCGACTTGTTTTTCCCATACATCCCGGCAAGCTCAACAAGTCTCACACCACTCTCATACTTTTGTATTATTTCCTTCTTCACATCTATGGTGTTTCTCACTTTCTTTACCACAGGGGTACCACTAACAAGTTTCTTTGGGCCCATGGCAGCTTATTTCACAGTCCCACAAGCACTAAACACAACGAAATAATCGTAAAATACGTGAATGAGAGCGCAGGTTAGTGTTCACTCAAGCGTAAACAAAGCTAGACTGCTCACGGCGCCTGCGCAGGGACGCGAACAGAGCAGGCGCCAGACAGGTCCCGTACCCGGCGGTCCAAAAATAGGGCCGCGTTCGATAATAGGGACACAGTTTGTCCGAAAAAATGGTCCTATTTTCGAAACGTTCGATATGTGATACGTTCGATTTTTGAGGTTCCACTGTATGTACACAAGAGGGAGTGGTAAGAGAAGCAGAAGACCGTGGACTGACGGATGGAATAAAGTGCACTTATGTTGACGGTACACACAGACTATTGCATGAATCTAGTGCACTTAAAATTGTCCAGCAGAACTTATCTCAGCTAGAACTTGACAACAAAGCCAAGTCTGCCTTGTCTTATTACCAAGGAAGACTTCTAGGACCTTGATGACTGGCTTAGGATATGACTGGCTAAAAGTTTTAGATATTGACATTATTCACTAAATATATGATAGTGTAAACATGTTATCAGGCTTTTATATACATTTGAAAGTAAGAATAGGCTATGATTCGCTTTACAGTGATTTTCACTTTACAACAGAAGCCTGGAACCTACCCTGCTGTATAAGCGGGACCCTCCTGTGTACTAACACCAATAACCCCTCAAATAGGGATTAAAGCAAATTCTGTGTATAGACAAAGAGTCATGAATGCTTTTTGGTGTACAACGTGCAATCTCAGAATATAAACCACTTAGTCTCCCTTTTCTTAAATTTTACAATTTATTTCCTTTTCCCTTAGGAGAATTCTGAATTTGTAGATGATAGCTCCGAGAAGTTTGTTCAGAATACATTTTTTTTTGTCTGTGTTTCATTCAAGGTAAATATATTCACTGTTGGTTTGTTCTGCCCACAGAGTACTATCGGGGAGCCGCAGTACCACACGCTCTATGAGACCTTTGCTCTGGCCAGTGAGATATACGATAAAGGTTTTCACTACCATACTGCCGTGGCAGCCATGTGGGGCGACCTGGCTGTCGTCCTCTCTGAATCCAAGGTTTTCAAACACTTGTGTAATAGTTAGTGTGTAAGGTTCTCAAACACTTGTGAAACTACTTAGTGTGTAAAGTTGAGAACCACTTGTTCACATACTAGTTATTGTTTAAGGTACTCAACGCTTGTGTACTAGTTGAGACGAGAATTACATTTCAGTAACTGACGTATGAATTGTTCATCACATGGGTTTTCATCATAAGGTTGTTCATCATGTGGGTTATTCACCACATGGGTTGTTCATCACGTGGGTTGTTCATCACGTGGGTTGTTCATCACATGGGTTGTTCATCACATGGTACAACTTATACTTTAGTCAGTAGACTTACTGAAAAAAAAATTTGGATTTTATATTCTAACTTTATTTCTTTAGTATCTTAATTATGCAAGCCATACCCATCCTGTGGACACTACTTAAAACATCACTATTCGATAGGCATCATTGCAGTAATCGTGAATGAGCAATAAAAGATGCAAAATAACCACAGGGGAAGTTAAGTGATAGCTCTAGGCCTTTTGTGTTGCAGTCAACACATAAGGAACTTGCAATGTTGCTGCAATAGAGTAAGAAATCTATGCAGATTCGTTTCAGGGGGGAACGAATCTCAGGATTTCCCCCTCTGTTTCTGTAACACTGCAACCTCCTGATGTGTTGATTGCAACACAAAAGGCCTAGACCTATCATTCAACTGCCACTGATTATTTTGAATCATTGGTAGTAATGCTGACCTGTGTTTAAACTTCTGTGGTTCAGTCCTTGGCACAGGTGGAAACTATGGGCATGTGCACCTAGCAGTAAGTGGGTACCTGGGTGTTAGTCACCTTACACCTGATGCCCCTATTCTCCTAGCATAAGTAGGTACCTGGCTGTTTGTCACCTTACAACTGCTGGTCCCCTGTTAAACCAAGCAGTATCTAGGTACCTGGCTGTTAGTCATTTTACAACTGCTGTCCCTGTTCCCCCACCCGGGAAAAAAAGGTACCTAGCTGTTAGTCATCTTACACCTGCTGTTGCTGTTCACCTTGCAGCAACTAGGTACCTGCCCATTAGCCACCTTACACCTGCTGTCACTGTCATCTAGCATGTAAATAGGTCCCTTTGGGTGTTAGTGGACTGGTGTGGGTGGCATCCTGGGGGGAAAAATTGAAGGACCACAGTGGAAATAAGACAGTCCTCGATGATGCACTGACTTTTCTTTGGTTTATCCTGGATGACTTATATTCCCTTCCCCGGGGTTTTATCCTGGATGGCTAACACTCCCTCCCCTGGGTTATCCTGGGTGGCTAACCCTTCCTACCCTGGGTTATCCTGGGTGGCTAACACTCTCTACACTGGGTTATCCTGGGTGGTTAACCCTCCAGGTTAAGACTCCTAACAAGTTTTATCCTACCTCTATTTTCCAGGTCCTTCCATTTTCTCTGGTCAAATACTCAAACTTCATCAGTAAGGCTCAGGATGACATTATTGAGCGCTTTGGACCACTTATTAATTCACAGAATATTTCACTAGGTAAGGAAATAATCTGGTATTATTGTTCTTATATATAGTTTGGTTAATATCATTATTATGCACCCCCATTCTCGTGGTGTGGGCGATAGTTGAAATATTAGATACAGGAGGGCCCCACTTATACGGCAGGTTAGGTTCCAGGCTACCGCCGTAAAGCGGAAACCGCCGTAAAGTGGAACACCCTTTTTTTCCACTTATAAATGCATACAAACACTAGATAACAAGTTTACACTAACATATATTAAGTTAGCAATAGAACCAGGCATCAAAAAACAATAAAAAAGTACAATACACACATAGTGCACTCATTACTTACCTTAAAATATTTATAGTCTTAATCTGGGTGAGACAAGTAGTATTATTGTAAGAAATCAAGTGTGGTATGTATGGTAAAAAGCCAGGCTACCTTACCAGGCCACCCACCCCACACATACTATTCTATGATATTTAAGCATCCCAGAGCGATAAAATGTATATACATTTTCACTTCATTACTTACCTTAAAATATTTGTAGTTTTAAATGTAGGGTCAGGAGTAAGTAAATGAGATAAAACGAATAAATGAGAGAGAGAAAAATGAGTACATGAAGGGGACAGGCGCAGAGTTATGTAAACAAACCGGGGCGAACGTAAGTTTTGTAAACAAACGAAGTGTACACGTCTGGTTTGTGTACAAGTTACATTGTGTACAGGTTGTCTCTACATTGATACGGTAGAATTAATAAAGAAGAACACTCCCATTCTCATGTAACATCATTTTGAGAAGAAATGAAGCTCTGAGTGAAGGCAATGGAAATAAGTCACACTGACTTTTTGGGTTATCCTGGGTTTCTCAACACGATGTTGTTATGTATGATAATCTATGTAACTGTATTTGTGTATACCTAAAATAAACTTACTTACATACATACGAAAGGAATAATTTTCTACAGTTACCCCATAACACATTTTCTTTTATGTTAGATTAGAGAAAATGTTATTCTTGCCGTCACTTGTACAAGTTATGTGGCTCCCCACATCTTATATTTATGTTTATTTATTCTATTGTGGGGTTGTATTATCATCTTTTTTATTTTTATGTATCGTGTTTATTAAAATAATTTTGAAAAAAAATATCATGGATGGATAATAAAATGTGTATATTAACGTAATATAACGACATTTAATGAGACTCGGTGAGTATTGTTATTATTATTATCATTTCTAATAGGGCCCGTCACTTGTGCAAGTCGTCTGCTACCACATCTCACATTTATGTTTATTTTTTCTACTGTGGGGGTTTTTTTTTTTTTTTTTTTTTTTCAACAAGTCGGTCGTCCTCCCACCGGGGCAGGGTGACCCAAAAAAAAGAAAGAAATCCCCAAAAAGAAAATACTTTCATCATCATTCAACACTTTCACCACACTCACACATTATCCCTGCTTTTGCAGAGGTGCTCAGAATACAACAGCTTAGAAGCATATACGTATAGAGATACACAAAAATATCCCTCCAAACTGCCAATATCCCAAACCCCTCCTTTAAAAATGCAGGCATTGTACTTCCCATTTCCAGGACTCAAGTCCGACTATATGAAAATAACCGGTTTCCCTGAATCCCTTCACTAAATATTACCCTGTGGGGTGTATTTATCTTATTTATATGTTATGCATCGTGTTTATTATATAATTTTGAAAAAAATATCATGGATGGATTAATGAAAATGTGTATATTACCGTAATATACGACATTTAATGAGACTCGGGAGTATTATATTATTATCATTTCAATATGGCGTCACTTGTGCAAGTCGTCTGCTACCCCATCTCACATTTATGTTTATTTATTCTACTGTGGGGTGTATTTATCTTATTTATATGTTTTGCATCGTGTTTATTATATAATTTTGAAAAAAATATCATGGATGGATTAATGAAAATGTGTATATTAACGAATATACGACATTTAAATGACTCGATGATTATTATTATCATTACTAATATGACGTCTGGAGACATAAGACACTTACCAATTTTAACCCTTTCAGGGTCCAAGGCCCAAATCTAGAGTCACGCACCGTGTCCCAAGAATTTCAAAAGAAAAATTTGTTATTTTTTTCTTATGAAATCATTGAGAATCTTTTTGTTTAAGGTAATAAAACAAAAAATCCGAAAATTTTGGGGGAAATTAACGAAATTATGCTCTCGCGAATTTTGATGTGTCAGCGATATTTACGAATTTGGGCGATTTTGCCGACTTTGACTCCCATTTAGGCCAATTACTTATTCCAATCAACCAAATTCTTAGCTTTTCACTAGTATTACTTCTATTCTAAACGATTGAGCACAAGAAATCGCCAAGTCAACTGTTTCAACTACAAAATAAAGTGATCGGGAAATTGTTAATTTGGCCAATTTAAAACCAAAAATTCAAAATATCCAATTTCAAAATAGGGTCCAGAATAAACAATGTAGGCATTCCTGGCACTAAACTAACATTTCCTCTGTTCATTAGTTATGTTTTGAGGCTTTACAAATAAATTCCATTTGATTTTTTTATTCACATAATGAATTTTTATTCACACCAAAAAATAGAAGATTTACTGTTATGCAATACTGTAAAATTGTATAAATATCATCACCATATTTGTGAATGTATATTAGACCCACCAGCTGACGTGTATTAGACGTGTGAGGTTGTTTGTTTACTCTTTGAATATCGGCAAAAATTTAACATTTCCGCTACTTTGAGCTCAGTTTCAAGCCATTTCCAGTGCTAAAAACCAATCAAAATCATCTCTATTTCTGTAATATGTCTTCCATTCTATCAAATGAGACCAAGAAATCGCAAATACAACTATAAAAAACATATGAAAAAACACTGCAAAGTTGCTGTTTTAATCGAAAAATCATGATTTCAGTTTTTTTCTCTCATTATACACAGTGTGCTGCAGGATCTGTTTTATGTGGTGCACACTTACCACATAGATGTATTCTCTCATATCTAGGCCCAAAATGTACCACTCACAGTTTTCAGAGTGAGCTGAGCTCATGGCGTAGATCTACGGTTTGGACACTCACTGTAAAGCCGTAGATCTACGGGACGGACCCTGAAAGGGTTAATTGTGACCTGCATGCCAGCACAGTATGTAAGTTTATTTAGGTACAGGTATAACATAAGTATAATTATCAGAGTATATATAAAATATGAAATAACTTTTAAAAACATTTGAAATTTTGGAGTTTCCAGACAAAATGGAGAGACTTAGTGCTACTGAGCTCATGGAGAATGTAAACAAACAGGGTGGGCGCGGTGACCGTATTAGAAAGTCAGGTGGGGGGAGCCGTATAGCGAGTTTTGGTCATAATTTGAAATGTCCGTATTAGCGGAATGCCGTAAAGTGAAACGCCGTAAAGCGGGGCCTTCCTGTACATAATGGGAACTGTACCTCAACATTACAGAGCTACAATCTTGGGTGAAGCTAGACGTATGGGCAAGTCTTCCTATAGTTTATGTATGTCGAGTGCTGTCTGTTGCAACTTGGCAAGGCTGGTAGAACGGTATAGTTAATTTTCTTGTTGACCAGTGCGGTATGAAATTACATGCAATATTTATGACAGGTACGAAACAATACCCTAATAAAATACCATACTGAGGGTCATGCATCTTGGGAGAACACCTAAGTACTGAAACTATGTATAGTGCCAAAACAAAAGCATTCACATTGCTAAACTCACAAACTAGTATTTAGTCACTTAGCCATAATACCAACTTACCTCATAATTTTGTAATATTTTAAACTTAAGATTTAATCTAAGTCTGCCCGAAATGCCTAGCCATGCTAGGTGTTCTAGTGGTACACTCTGTAATTATTATTTTACTGCATGCAAACCACACAATAACCAAATTCTGTAAACTCAGCATTGTAATCCTTATAGAGAATAAACTTTGAATTTGAAAGTAGCCCATTGGAAATAGGCCACTTTGATTGCCTTGAATTAAAATCAGTTTAACCTTCCATAGTTAGTATCTGATTCAAATCTTCCCCATAAAGGTACAGCTTCATTTAAATATTTAATGTAAAAGGTTGTAATCTTCTTTTTTCAACAAACTGGCCATATCCCACCAAAACAGGGTGGCAAAAAAAGAAAAACAAAAGTTTCTCTTTTTAACTCTAGTAATGTACAGGTCTCCCTCAACATTCGCGAGGGTTAGGGGATCAAGAGCCTTGCGAATGTTGAAAAATCACAAATGTTAGGTGCCCCAATATATTGTAAGAAATATAATAAAAATACTGCTTCCTTAACTTGTTGAACCATGAACAATCACAAAATACAGTGGACCCCCGCTTAACGATCACCTCCAAATGCGACCAATTATGTAAGTGTATTTATGTAAGTGCGTTTGTATGTGTATGTTTTGGGGGTCTGAAATGGACTAATCTACTTCACAATATTCCTTATGGGAAAAAATTCGGTCAGTACTGGCACCTGAACATACTACTGGAATGAAAAAAGTTCGTTAACCGGGGGTCCACTGTACATGAAAACATTGTAAATTGTACTAAATACATACTTGTTATGGTTTAATAACATGTATGTTATTAAATGCCACTGCCTCAACCACTGCGTGTCCCTACTACCCTCCCTCCGACCCCACAACTGGCACCCAGCCCCCCCCCACTGTATGGTGAGTGTTTTGTTTGTTCATTATTTGCTATTAAACTACAGTATAAATAATGTCAACCCATTCATGACTGCATATTGGAATGGCTATTCGGACAGATATTAGACGGTGACCCACTGCCTCACCCACTGCCTCAACCGCTTCCTCAACCGCTTCCTCAACCGCTGCCTCAACCACTCCAGTCGCACTCAATCTACAAGCACCAAACACAATGAATTATTGTGAAATGTTTGGAAGTGCACAGAGACTAATGCTCACTTCTCCATAAACAAAGCCACACTGACGATGTGTCAACCACTCCCTCCACTATTGCTTCAACCCTCGTATTTTTGTTCAATTTCCTTCTTCAATTCTATCACATTTAATAACCCTTTCGGGGTTTCGGCCGTACTAGTATGGCTTACGTGCCAGGGTTTTTGACGTACTAGTACGCATAAATTCTAATGGCCCTCAAATCTAGCAAGAGAAAGCTGGTAGCCTACATATGAAAGAATGGGTCTATGTGGTCAGTGTGTGCAGTATAAAAAAAAAATCCTGCAGCACTCAGTGCGTAATGAGAAAAAAAACTTTGATCGTGTTTTTTTGGGTTTTAAAAAAGCAGCTTTGCACTGTATTTTCGTATGGTATTTTTGGTTGTATTCTAGTTTTTCTGGTCTTATTTTATAGAATGGAAGACATATTACAGAAATTGAGATGATTTTGATTGGTTTTCACAATGAAAAGTACCTTGAAATTGAGCTCAAAGTAGCAGAAATGTTCAATTTTTACCAAAGTTCAAAAGTAAACAAATCATGCCATGCGTCCAATACACGTCAACTGGTGTATTTAATATTCTTTCACAAGTGTGCTGATATTATTTATACCATTTCTACACTAATGCAGTAGTCTGCATAACAGTAAATCTTATTTTTTGTGAGAATAAAAATTCAAAGTGGAAAGCAAAAGAAATGTAAGAGGGGCATGGGGATGTGACTGATGAACAGAGGAAATGTTATTTTAGTGCCAGGAATGTCTTTCTTGTTTATTCTGGACCCTGTTTGGAGATTGGCATCTTTTGAAATTTGTGTGAAATTGGCAAAATTGCTAAATTCTGACCACTATTGGATAGTTGAAATCGGTAAATGTGTGGTTTCTTGTACTCGTTTGATAGAAAAAATGGAGTTCTAGCGAAGTAGTTATGATTTTTGTCGACTAGTACACTGGAATTGGCCGAAAAAAGGGCTCAAAGTGTTCAAAATTGCTGATGCATAAACATCGTTGAGACCACTAACTTCGCAAGAGCATAATTCCGTAAGTTTTCCTTCAAATTTCATACTTTTGGTGTCATTATGACCAGAAAAAGATTCTCTATTCTTTTCATAAGAAAAATAATTTTTCTTTGTTTAAATTTTGGCGACCCTGAGAACAAGTCTGAGAGGGCCTGGCGACCCTCAAAGGGTTATTATTATTATTATTGATTATTATTATTATTTTTTATTATTATTATTAATTTTATTTTTTTTTTTTTTTTTTTTTTTTTTTCAACAAGTCGGCCGTCTCCCACCGAGCAGGGTGACCCAAAAAGAAAGAAAATCCCCAAAAGAAAAATACTTTCATCTCATTCAACACTTTCACCACACTCACACATTATCACTGTTTTTGCAGAGGTGCTCAGAATACATACAGTCTAGAAGCATACACATATAACATACACAACATACCCTCAACAACAAAAACAGAAATGTTTGATTCTTGCTTTATTCAAGTAAACATATGATGTCACCGTCCAATACCTGTCGAATATCCATTCCAATATGCAGTCATGAATGGGTTGACATTATTATATACTGCAGTTTAATAGCAAATAATGAACAAACAAAACACTCACCACACAGTGGTGGGAGGGCTGGCTGCCAGTTGCGGGGGTTGGAGGGAGGGTAGTAGGGACTCGCAGGTGGCAGGAAACTTAACCCTTAAACGGTCCAAACGTATATATACGTTCACGTTGCATAGCACCCCAAATGTATATATACGTTTTCTTTGTCATTCATTCAACATTGCCACGATAAGCCTGAGTCACCTAGACATGAGAGAATGGGTGAGCGCACTCACTGTGTGCCATATTAAAATAATTGGGGATGCCTGGGTACCATATGCTCTTTCTTCCTTTTAAAAAACAGATTTTTTTTCTCTCAAAAATTTGGGGCGCTACGTGAGTGAACGTATATATACGTTGGGCCGTTTAAGGTTAAATATGATTTGGTGGCTGGGAATTTGGCGGCTGGGAATTTAGCGGTAGGGAATTCGCGAATGTGTGAAGCCCACAAAAGTTGAAAACGCAAATGTTGAGGGAGATCTGTACTTATGAATGTCATTCTTTGAAGTTTTTATTTTGAAATGTAAACCTTTTTTAAAAGTGATAGAAGAGGGAATAATTTTTGTGTACAGAATTTCTAAATGAGGATAATGACTGAAATCTCTCTCAGTGTGAACTTCCAACTCTTGATCTAAGGAGATTTATCTAAGGAAATTTGTAATATATGGATTTATATATTTTTGTAAATGTAGAAACTTGATTATTTATATGACTTGATTTTTTTTTCATCGCAGAACACTTTACTAATGCTGGAAAGGCGATAAATGAGAGTGTTACCAACTTCAATAAAGCACTGGAATATTTGGACCTGAAAAGGTTAGTGGTAGTAATAAAGAAATATATTTTTTACTTACCTTCAGACCTTATAACAGACAGACCCAATAAAATTTGTTGTAATTATCACAAGGTTATATTACGTATGTAAAATTCCTTTTGATTCATTCTTCCTTAATAAATATATTAAATATTTCTTGTTTCTTTTGAGGGACATCATGGCCACTCAGGGGAGATCCATCATGCTAGTTAAGGGTTTTTGATCCAAGGAATTGAGCCTGCCCTCCCTCCCCATCCTTGGATTGAACCTAATTATGTGAACACGTGGATCCCAGGGTCCCTCCTAAGACTGCTGAGATGTGGCACTAGTGTAAAAACAAGTGCTTATGATAAATAACCCATCAAAAAAGGCACTGTTTGAGTGAGGAGCTCTTGATCCAAGGAATTTACCTTATTTTCCATTTCCTTAGTATGGGCATCACCAGGACAAGCGTGCCTCGTTGTGCTCCGGGTTTTCTCGTGTTTTCATGGTCGCTCTTACGTGCTAGAACTTTAATTTGTGCCATCAACCCTATACAATACATCCCTCTAGCGCCTGGAACCAATCTTGGGCGGAAAACATTATATACTGAGTCAAAAAAGGAGAATTAGTGTGCACTACCTAGCAGAGTTTACTGCCAGAGGGGAATCATAGGCCTGTGTTCCGTGTGAAAAATAATAATAATAGAACTTTTCTTTGTCAGAGGAAAGAAAGTCTCCCTGATAACATTGTGTATACATAGTGTATAGTGTATACTACAGTGGCTCCCTAGTATATAGATGATAAAGGCTAAAGTGTCATTTGAAAACAGGTGAATTTGTAAATGAAGTGATAAGCCTGTAGAGGCAGGTGCCAGAAGTCGCCAGAAACTTACCACAGTGGTCAGCTGTTTTTAATAATCTTCCTGGCCTGCTAGTGTACTCGCATATAATCTAGTGATACCAGTGAATAGCAGAATACAGTGTTGTAGTAGCAACTAACCAGTATTATAATGGTACTTAGTGGAGTGCAGTGACTTTCATTAGTTTCTTTTTTCTTGAAATACCAAATGTATACTGTGAATTTCATATAACCTGTAGTTACCAGCGGTCGCAATATACACAACGAGAAGCAATTATTACTACAGAAAAAGCGTCCTTTCTCCAATATTTCCACCAGTCAACTATAGTGATAATATAGCATTTATTGTGGTGGAGACGAAAAAAAAACTAGAAAAGCTAGATACAGCGATTGATAAACAAGGGTTGAGGCTCGACCGTTCATCACTGTAGGAGCTGCCAGAAATCACCGGCTCTTCAACACGCAAGTTATACTTTTGTATCAATCAAATCACATATTATTCGGGTAGATAATTTCAAGTAGATCCTTCATGTGTTAGCCCAAATCACCGACTAGTATGTTTTAAATAAGTGACCCACTGATCAGATCAGATCGACTGGTCCGAACCCTCGACTGGTCCGAACCCTTGATGGTCCGAACCCTTGACTGGTCCGAACCCTTGATGGTCCGAACCCTTGACTGGTTTCAAACGGTTTCGTTGGACAATAAAACAGACTGTAAACGGATAGGGTTGTAGGCGCCCTTATCAAACACAAACAATAAATATAAATGAGGAACGTACACGGTAAGCTGTCCAATTAGTTAGAAATAGAAATACAAATAGCTAGAGCTTCATTTAAGGAGGTTATTAATAGAGTATTCAAGAGGTTGCTAGTAGAATTACAGTAAATCAACCACTCAAATCATTATGAAGCTGTGTGTAGTCTGCAGTCAATCAAACAAATGGGCTTCCACATGGATAAATTGTCATTTTTGTGGAAATTGGTGTCACGCCCCTTGTGCAGATATCCAAGAACTAGCTACAAGCAGTATTAAAACAGGGAAGTGTTTTTGGGTATGCCCAAATGAGGAAAATCTGTGGACTAAAAATCACAAGGGTATTAAAAGAGGACAACATCAAAGCTGCTTCATAGACAACCTGGAAGCTTTCTACAACAGATGGGAACATAAAAAGTCTGGGCTGAATGGTACTGCCCTTGATACTGGCCATGTAGTCAGAAACTGTAAGGCTGGAGGTGATGTCCTGGTAGTCAGTAAATGTGGGGCTGATAGTGCTGTCCTGGGAGACAGTAATGGTGAAGCTGGAGGTGCTGTCCTGGGAGACAGTAATGGTGAAGCTGGAGGTGCTGTCCTGGGAGACAGTAATGGTGAAGCTGGAGGTGCTGTCCTGGGAGACAGTAATGGTGAAGCTGGAGGTGCTGTCCTGGGAGACAGTAATGGTGAAGCTGGAGATTTTGTCCAGGTAGTCGGGAATTATATGCAGGAAGGAATACATATAAATGACCTCATAGGGGACAGGAGCCGTAGTGGGGAAACAAGTGTAGTCAAAGATAAGATAAAACCAATATTGCAAACTAGAAATACCACAGGAAATAGCAAACAAGAGGACTCCACTAGCTATAGTGAGGATATATTACCAAAAACAACTGGTGGGAGCTCCGTTGTTGGTGCTAGGGAGGATAGGAATAAGACAGGGAAACATGCACCAACAGCAAATACAGTCACAGAAACCCAAGGCAAACGGAAACTAAGCCTGTGCACATACTATGCACTTGGTATCTGCAGACATGGGAAATCTGGAAAAACAGACGGGACGTGCAACTATGACCACCTAGAAAATGCCATGCCCATATGACAACAGGAAAATGCAAACTCCCTTCTGTAAGCTTTTTCACCCTGAAATGTGTACCTCTTCAGTACAGGAAAGACTGTGCTATAACTTAAATTGCCAGGCACACCATCTAAAGGGTACAAAAAGATACAAAACATCCAGGCCATGGAAAACCTGGGTAGCCACAGCCACTCAAGAGGGAGAGGTTTTTTAGTGCAGGAAGGAAAAAAAACTGGCAGGAAATGGCAGAAATCATACACCAAATCCAGTCTATTCCTGGAGTGGAACCACAGTCGATGGCCTCCACGCCAAACCAACAGATACAGATACTAATGCCGGAAAAAAAATCCCCCCCCCAGTACCAACAATACCACCAGTCGATGACATCTTCTTTGCAAATATACAGGGTCTAAAGCCAGCAACAAACAACACAATACCTTTCATCCGTGGACTGCTTGCAGAGGCAAAGGCAATGTTTGCGGCTTTCACTGAGACCCACATAAAGGATCACTTGGACAACGAAATATGGATCCCAGGTTACAACCTATACAGATGTAACAGAGTGAACAGGAAAAAGGGGGGGGGGGGGGTTGGCCTGAACATTGCAGAGTCACTTGTTTGCACAAACTGCTAAATGCCTCAAATGATGTATGTGGAAGTTTTAGCAGCAAAGGTCGAGAACCAAACCTAGTCATTGTGGTAGTCTACAAGCTCCGGATGCAACATCCCAGCAATTCCAGGAACAGCTGTTAAAAATTGACCACTGTCTGGAAAATCTTCCAGCTCCTGCACCCAACATCTTGCTCCTGGGGGATTTCAACTTAAGGCACCTAAAATGGAGGAATATAGCAAATAATATTGTTGCAGTAATAACACCAGGAGGCAGCTCTGATGAAAACTCACACTCGCACGAGCTTTTAAATCTCTGCACAAAATTCAATTTAAACCAGCAAATAATAGAGCCTACTAGACTGGAGAATACACTAGACCTCATCTTCACTAACAATGATGATCTGATAAGAAATGTCACCATATCAAAAACAATATACTCAGATCACAAAATAATTGAGGTTCAGACATGTATGCGTGGAGCCCCGGACCGACATAATGAGACTAGTCACGAGGGAGCATTCACCAAATTCACTTCAATAACAAAAACATAAAGTGGGACCAAGTAAACCAAGTCCTAACCGATATAAGCTGGGAAGATATACTAAGCAACACAGACCCCAACATATGCCTAGAACAGATTAACTTGGTGGCACTCGATGTATGCACAAGGCTTATTCCTTTAAGAAAAAGGAGGAGTAGATGTAAAATAGAAAGAGACAGGCGCTCCCTTTACAGGCGACGGAAAAGAATAACAGAGCGGCTAAAAGAGGTCAATATATCTGAAAAGCGTAGGGAGACACTGGTCAGAGAAATAGCAAGCATCGAACTCAAGCTAAAGGAATCTTATAGGAGTCAGGAATCGCGGGAAGAACTAAAAGCCATAAATGAAATCGAAAGAAACCCAAAGTATTTCTTCTCCTATGCCAAATCTAAGTCGAGAACAACATCCAGTATTGGGCCCCTACTTAAACAAGATGGGTCCTACACAGATGACAGCAAGGAAATGAGTGAGCTACTCAAGTCCCAATATGACCTCAGTTTTTAGCAAGCCGCTAACCAGACTGAGGTCGAAGATCAAAACGAATTTTTACGAGAGAGCCACAAAATTTGGTTAACACAAGCCTATCCAATGTTATCCTGACGCCAAATGACTTCAAACAGGCGATAAATGACATGCCCATGCACTCTGCCCCAGGGCCAGACTCATGGAACTCCGTGTTCATCAAGAACTGCAAGAAGCCCCTATCACGAGCCTTTTCCATCCTATGGAGAGGGAGCATGGACGCGGGGGTCGTCCCACAGTTACTAAAAACAACAGACATAGCCCCACTCCACAAAGGGGGCAGTAAAGCAACAGCAAAGAACTACAGACCGAAAGCACTAACATCCCATATCATATAAAAATCTTTGAAGGGTCCTAAGAAGCAAGATCACCACCCATCTAGAAACCCATCAGTTACACAACCCAGGGCAACATGGGTTTAGAACAGTCGCTCCTGTCTGTCTCAACTATTGGATCACTATGACAGGTCCTAAATGCACTAGAAGATAAAAAGAATGCTGATGTAATATATACAGACTTTGCAAAAGCCTTCAACAAGTGTGACCATGGCATAATAGCGCACAAAATCGTGCTAAAGGGATAACAGGAAAAGTCGGTCGATGGATCTATAATTTCCTCACTAGCAGAACACAGAGAGTAGTCGTCAACAGAGTAAAGTCCGAGGCAGCTACGGTGAAAAGCTCTGTTCCACAAGGCACAGTACTCGCTCCCATCTTGTTCCTCATCCTCATATCCGACATAGACAAGGATGTCAGCCACAGCACCGTGTCTTCCTTTGCAGATAACACCCGAATCTGCATGACAGTGGTCTTCCATTGCAGACACTGCAAGGCTCCAGGCGGACATCAACCGAATCTTTCAGTGGGCTGCAGAAAACAATATGAAGTTCAACGATGAGAAATTTCAATTACTCAGATATGGTAAACACGAGGAAATTAAATCTTCATCAGAGTACAAAACAAATTCTGGCCACAAAATAGAGCGAAACACCAACGTCAAAGACCTGGGAGTGATCATGTCGGAGGATCTCACCTTCAAGGACCATAACATTGTATCAATCGCATCTGCTAGAAAAATGACAGGATGGATAATGAGAACCTTCAAAACTAGGGAGGCCAAGCCCATGATGACACTCTTCAGGTCACTTGTTCTATCTAGGCTGGAATATTGCTGCACACTAACAGCACCTTTCAAGGCAGGTGAAATTGCTGACCTAGAAAATGTACAGAGACCTTCACGGCGCGCATAACGGAGATAAAACACCTCAATTACTGGGAGCGCTGAGGTTCCTGAACCTGTATTCCCTGGAATGCAGGCGGGGAGAGATACATGATTATATACACCTGGAAAATCCTAGAGGGACTAGTACCGAACTTGCACACGAAAATCACTCACTACGAAAGCAAAAGACTTGGCAGACGATGCAACATCCCCCCAATGAAAAGCAAGGTGTCACTAGCACGTTAAGAGACCGTACAATAAGTGTCAGGGGCCCGAGACTGTTCAACTGCCTCCCAGCATACATAAGGGGGATTACCAACAGACCCCTGGCAGTCTTCAAGCTGGCATTGGACAAGCACCTAAAGTCGGTTCCTGACCAGCCGGGCTGTGGCTCGTCACGTTGGTTTGCGTGCAGCCAGCAGCAACAGCCGGTTGATCAGGCTCTGATCCACCAGGAGGCCTGGTCACAGACTGGGCCGCGGGGGCGTTGACCCCCGGAACTCTCTCCAGGTAAACTTGATTGTCTCTCATTCCCTCGAGATAATACTGCAGGTTTGATCATTAGTGGATAAATATCAGCTCTTTCATGCTTCTTTAACAAAAAATATTATGGGATATCTTTTATAAACCTGTTTAAATCCTAAAATAATTACATTTAATAATTCGCTATTATACGAGAATAATGCTAATCTTAAACATAATTGTTAAACAATAAAACTGGGCATGATTATTTTCCGATTCTATCTTATATCTAACAGCAAACTCAACGTGTAGAAAAAACACACTATGGTTATGTTAGGACATTTATTAGAGGAAACATTTCTTCTAATAAATGTCTTAAACTGTACATAAATGTCTTTTTTCACATCTTGTTAGTATCACCACAACGTTTCTCACCCAACTCAATATTTCAGCGCCCTGGCTCTCCGCCGTGTTAATGACCAGCTCAATGATGTTTGAACGAGCGTTCATTGACCCTCGAGGATTACCTGGAAGACCCGAGTTCAAGTAAGCTTGCTTCTTTCTTATGAAATACTTAGATATATACAGGTTGGTCATCACTAATACAGCAGTCAGTTATCCGGTTCCATCAGTAATCCAGCACTAATTTCAACTAGCATAATTTCAAATTTCATCATTATACTGACTCAGATTTCATCATTATACTGACTCAGAAATTGTGCAGATGGTTGTAAATCCACAGCAGCAAGCCGTGGAGGAGAAAGCAGTGATGAAAATGAGGAAGATGTAGCAGAAAGAGTCTCTATTGATAGGTTAATAAGTGTATTCTAACCTAACCGCTCTGTAATCCGGCAAACTCACTAATCCGGCACACTACACAATGCCAGTGATGCCGGATTAGTGATGGCTGACCTCTGTGCACTCACCAAGCTCTGGTTGCAGGGGTCGAGTCATGCTCCTGGGCCCCTGCCTCTTCACTGGTCGCTGGTGTGTGTGTGTGTGTGTGTGTGTACTCACCTAATTGTACTCGCCTAATTGTGGTTGCAGGGGTCAAGACTCAGCTCTGGCCATGCCTCTTCACTGAGTGCTACTAGGTCCCCTCTCTGCCTGCTCCATGAGCCATATCATATCTCATCTTAAACCTATGTATCGTTCCTGCCTCCACTAACTCACCTGCTAGGCTATTCCACTTCCTGACTACTCTGTGACTGAAGAAATACTTCCTAACATCCCTTTGACTTATCTGGGTGTTCAACTTCCAGTTGTGACCCCTTGTTTCTGTGTCCCCTCTCTGGAACTTCCTGTCTCTGTCCACTTGTCTATTCTACACAGTATTTTGTATGTTGTTTATCATGTCTCCTCTGACCCTCCTGTCCTCCAGTGTTGTCAGGCCGATTTCCCTTAACCTTTCTTCATAGGACATTCCCCTTAGCTCTGTGACTAACCTTGTCACAAACCTTTGCACTTTCTCTAATTTCTTGACGTGCTTGATATATTTAACAAGTAGGCCGTCTCCTACCTTTGCAGTGTGACCCAAAAAGAAAGAAAATCCCCAAAATGAGAATACTTTCATCATAATTCAACACTTTCACCTCACTCACACATAATAACTGTTTTTGCAGAGGTGCCCAGATACAACAATTTAGAAGCATATATAAAGATACAATATAAAAAGTGACCTGAAATAATATAATACACTCAATATAGAATACAATATCAGGGCCCCAGTTATGTATATACTGTCCTATTACACATCCCACCAAACTGCCAATATCCCAAACCCCTCCTTTAAAGTGCAGGCATTGTACTACCCATTTAACCCATTGAGGGTTTCGGACGTACTAGTACGGCTTACGACCCAGGGTTTTTGACGTACTAGCACGCCTAAATTCTAGCGCCCTCAAATCTAGTGGGAGAAAGCTGGTAGGCCTCCATATGAAAGAATGGGTCTATGTGGTCAGTGTGCATGGTATAAAAAAAATCCTGCAGCACACAGTGCATAATGAGAAAAAAAAAAAACTTTGATCGTTTTTTTGGAATAAAACAGCGAATTTACACTGTATTTTCGTATGGTATTTATTGTTGTATTCTAGTTATCTTGGTCTCATTTTATAGAATGGAAGGCATATGATAGAAATTGAGATGATTTTGACTGGTTTTACAATGAAAAGTACCTTGAAATTGAGCTCAAAGTAGCAGAAATGTTCGATTTTTACCAAAGTTCAAAAGTAAACAAATCATGCCAAGCGTCCAATACACGTCAACTGGTGAGTCTAATATTCTTTTGCAAGTGCGCCAATATGATTCATACCATTTTTTACACTAATGCAGTAGTCTGCATAACAGTAAATCTTCTATTTTTTGTGAGAATAAAAATTCAAAGTGGAAAGCAAAAGAATGTAAGAGGGGCCTTGTGACATGACTAATGAACAGAGGAAATGTAATTTTAGTGCCAGGAATGTATTTCTTGTTTGTTCTGGACCCTATTTGGAAATTGGCATCTTTTGAAATTTGTGTGAAATTGGCAAAATTGGTAAATTCTGACCACTGTACTGGATAGTTGAAATTGGCAAATGAGTGGTTTCTTGCACTCATTCAATAGAAAAAATGAAGTTCTAGCGAAATATTCATGTTTTTGTCGACTAGTACAGTGGAACTGGCCAAAAATGGGGCTCAAAGTGGGCAAAATCGCCTATCCGTAAACATCACCGAGACCGCTAACTTAACGAGAGCATAATTCCACAAGTTTTCCATCAAATTTCATATTTTTTGGTGTCATTATGGTCGGGAAAAGATTCTCTATCTTTTCATAAGAAAAAATTATTTTTTTTTTTTTTAAATTTGGCCGACCCTGAGAATGAGTCTTGGAGAGGGCCTGTCGACCCTCAAAGGGTTAACCCTTCAGGGTCCGTCCCATAGATCTACGGCTTCACGTTGAGTGTCCAAACCGTAGATCTATGCCAAAATTCTAGCGCCGTCAAATTTAGCGCGAAAACGCTCATAGGCCTACATGTGAGAGAACGGGTCTGTGTGGTGGGTGTGCGCCATAAACAAAAAATCTAGGCGCCCGCATAGCATTGTGGGAACGCTGGCTCAGTTACCCTTGTTCACCATGCCTCGTCGCAAGTCAGCTCTCACTCCCAGGAAAATTGGGACTCTCCTCTTCCTATCTGATAGTTCTGACACCGATGGAAGTGGAAATGAAGACGAATTCTACGGCTTTGATCAGTTAGTGACCGAAAAGAATGACCAGGATATCGATAATAGTGCAGAAAACCCTGACGATCCTCAACCTTCTACCTCTGGTGTGGGCACTCGTGACTCAAGGTCGGTTGTTCCTCATCGCAAGAGAAAACTAATATTTTTGCGTGGCCAGGCCTCTGACTTCAGTAATGATGATGATAGTGACGTGGACTGTGATTTTATTGCGCTCGACGATCATTCGAGTAGTGATAGTGAGGAATCATATTCAGCAGTGAAGTGTCGGTTGTTCGCCGCCGCATGCACCGGGTAGTGTACCCTATG